CACTTCACATATTGGGCATTTATTAGTCTGAGCAAAGCACAGAAAAGTTACATTCTGCTAATTAGGATTCTTCGAGGCAGATTAAGATCTCGGCTGACTTTGTGTACAGTCATCAAATTACTCCAGGGTAACCAAAGTTTGATGTTCCTGAGCCTTCCCAGGATGAAAACCTAAAGAATTTAGAACAAGCAAACTAATCTCTGTGACTATTACTTTTTTCTAACACACAGCACTTTCAATTCTACATTATTACAAATTGATATCTGAGAATTTTAAAGACAGTAAATTTCTGTCTTAAAATTGCTTCAGCAAATTCCTGTAGTGTCTTTGTAAGTATAGGTTTGGTTTTCCTCATCCTCTCTCTTTGCATTCAATCTTAAACCATCATACTTAACACCAGACTGTAAGTCTTCATGAAATTTTAGATACTACGAGAAAATCCCTAAATATTTTAAACACTCTTATTTCAGAACCAAAACCCAGACTGCAAACCAACTGTACCAGCACACACAATAAATTAATGCTGAAAGAAAATGTCCTGAAATCTCTGGGAAAAGCATCCAAGCTACAGAACATAAATTACTGTTGTCACTAGACACTGCCTACTGGCAAGGCAAACAAAACTGGTTACCAAGACACAAAAATAAAACCTCTGTAGGGATGTGTGGCTTAAAATGTGAATCTAACTTGGTATTAACCATAATTTCTGAAGCACTAGACACAACTGGCACTGCACAGGCAAATATCTATTAATAACAATCCCAGCACTCTGATTTATGGTGGAAAGTATGTTAATTAATTAAACAGCAAAAACTGCAATGATAGAAGATAAAAGTGTGTTTAAGTAGTTTCATATAATTTTTTTACGTTCCAAAGCTGAGTTTTGAAAATGTTTTTCATTAGTATTGCTGAAAAGAGACGTAGCTCTTAGTGGAGACACAGGTAGTAGATTTAAAAGCATAAAACCAAATCCTGTTATGTGAATACAGAGAGGGGGAAGGAACAAAGGCAAAAGCAGAGTCATGAGGCATTCATGGAGGAAAGCAGTCTTTGTTCTACTCTGCAAACAACCTATAAACTGCTGCTAAACAGGGCAGGAACGGGTATTCCGGGAGGAATGCCAGCTGATTTTATTTGGGAAGAGCTGCTCCCTGAATAACTGTGATAGCTGGGACTGGAACAGTGAGACACAGGATGCAGGTCCCCTTTCCCTGGCTATCCCTATCCCTGCTCTCCAATGTTTCCATCAGCACAGATCACCACACCAACTGCTGCCACCAGGAGAAAGATATTCACTGTTTTCTGTGCACTCACAGCACAGCTCACAACCAAAATCCAAGGAATTTGTGCCCTAGTCCAGACCAGCAGGTGAGAAAGGGATGCCCCAAACTGCTTATAAATCAGTACCACAATCAACTATTTAGACCTTGCCTCTCTTTTGCTTCTTCTTCTCTTCTTCTTCTCCTCCCACATTTCCTTGGCCTTCTCCAACCCCAGCTTCTTGTTTAGGTGAATTTTCTTAAATGCATCCGAAAGGAGTGAGGGGAAAAAGAACAAAATTAGTGGTCAGACGCTCACAGCCTTCCAGAAACAGGATGGTACAATGATATTTTGCTAAATCAGTAAACTCTGCTGAAATGCAGCAGCCCCTTGACTGATACGTGTTACATCTTCATTACAGTACTTACGCAAATTAAATCAATGCTAATGTTAATATTGAAATTCCAAATGCTACTGAACAAGTTCTCCATCATTAATGACCTTTCCTCCAGCCATTCACAGCAGACTGGACAGATGCAAAATCCAGTGAACTAACTTTGATGGGAAACATCTGAAACCTTACAGCTGAAACCTTAAGAAAGCTCAAATATTATTATTGAAACTACACGTTGATTATTTAGTGTTTTCTGACATTATCAAACATATTTCACAGCATCCAAAAGCATGACAGACTCCTAAGAAAAGTATTAACTTCCACATGATACAGCAGGAAAAGGGAAGAGATGAGCTCAAAGATTTCTGAATATGTCTGAGGGCACATATCAGTTGGAAAACAAATAAGATTCTTACCTACTGTAAGTTTTGCAAACTCATCTGGAAAATTCTTTTCTAACCATTGTCTGCATTTAGTCACATCAGGCATGTATTCACAGTACTAGAGAAAAATCACATGAATGTTGTTAGTGGAGGAAAGACAAAATACATCACAAATACAACAAAATATATTTGCTATTCAGCTCAGCCATTTCTCCTTAAGATGACTGAATACAAATATTAGCACATAAGAAACCTCATGTTATCCTAATGATGACAGTGGCTGGAGCACAATTAAGACAAGACAGAGAATATCAGGAAGAATCATCATAGTCAGGAATCACAGGACAGAAGGAAAAAATTCAGACAACAAACTAATTAACTCACCTCTGTTGGCAACGAACAGACTGGAGAAAGAAGAGGAAAAAAAAAAACCACATTACAAAAAGAAGTTCTCCACTTACAGCCTTAGTGTTAAATTCCAAAGCAAAGAATCAGAGAATATTCTGAGTTGGAAGGACCCACAAGGATCATTGAGTCCAACTCTTAGCCCTGCTTACATCAGAACTTCTGGTTATAATCCCATACTGGCTCAAAACCATTACTGTATTGGTGCCATTCCACATTTTAATTCCTCTCTTGTTAGACCTGTGCTCACATGTTCTGCATTAGGATAAAACCACCACAGCAAGAGTCAGTGAGGGAAGGAGATGCCTAAAGCTTTGGAATAAATTACAGAAAGAAACACTAGTTCTACCTGAGGCAAAAGATACACCCAATAAAATACCACATGGTTTGGTCACCTTTCCTTTCCCAAGAGCTGCCAAAGTCCCAAAGAGGGACTTGGCCCCACAACCACCCAAACCAACGTGCAGATTTTCACACTCAACAGGAACTATTTCCTAATCCCCTGCAACTGTATTCAAGCCCAAAGCAAAGTGACAAACCTACCTAAAAAACATACCTAAATTATTTACTTCCCTTTAAATCTCACCCACATAACTACAATGTAACGTAAAGAATAATTCTACACACAGTTCAATTAGTCCCATGTATTCCATTTTTCATTGTCATACTAAAGCTCAGAGGCCTTTTCTGTGCTTTACTGGCTTTCTGCAGGAAGAGCTCGGAGCTCCCACTCCTTTCACACCCAGAGAGCTGTCAATCCTGTCTCTTAGGGGGGAAGATCCCTACATTTCACTAAAATGGCTTGGGATAAAATACACAACAAAGCTGTTTCAGAGAGACAATCAGAAAGGTCAAGCTGACCAGGGTCCAGCTTCTCAATAAAATCTGACCAAAAGAGACTCTCTCCTCTCTGCCCTCACGAACAGCACACTGTAGGGATCATGGACAGTTGCCCTTCCAGCACTTGCCTCCGCAGTAGAGGACCCGGAGGGGGTAGTCGGCGTCTGACCTGGCACCGCTCCTCCCGTCCCCTCTGCAGTCAGGGACCACGGGCTCGGCGACATCCGTGGCCATGTCACACGCCTGGGGGTCACAGAACAGAAGAATCAGGACCCAACTTCTGGGTTTGAGTTAGTCCCATCCCTCCCAACTCAACAAGAATCCCAGAGACTGACGAATCCCAGAGAAAACAGGTACAAGCGTAAGAAGCTTAAGAGAGATAAGGGAGGAAAAAACAGGAGTCAAATAATAATGAAAATATATGGGGGAAATGGCTACAAAAGATACCAAGCAGTATGGAATTCCAGCACGTTGCTGCCACAAAATGCAGTGTAAATGAAGGAAGACCTTTAGGAAACCCACATGGAATTACAGAACACTGGGTTAAGCACAATGTGAATAATCATGTCAATCAGTGACATATGAACAGCAGGGGCACTGGGGAGTAGGGGAGGGACCTCTCACATACTAGAAAAGAAAAGGGGTCATTTAAATCCGTGCCTGAAGAATTACAATCCTAGGACACTGGCAAAAAGCCTCAAACACTACAAAACAAGCAAACCAAACTCAGCCCACTAATGGACTTAACGCTGGTTTGCACACACAGGTTCTCAGGCCAGGGGCTTAGAAAACAGGAGTGAAGAAGGAAAGAGTTTGGAATACACAAGAAATCCCCCAGGGCCATGGGAGCAAACAGGACGTGAGAGGGAGCCTTGGAGCCAGGACAGGCTGTGCTGGGCAGTGAGGAATGTTGAGGGAAAATGTCAGGGCTCCAGAGGGGGTGAGGTTTGGGGTAGGGGGACAAGGAGAGGCAGGAGATGGTCACAGAGAGAGAAAGGATCTTGGGGCACCCATGGAGACCCCAAATGGGGGAAGGAGAGTGCTGAGTGGTTCTGGGGCAAAAGCGAGGGCAGGTCGGAAGGAAGGGTGATGGAAAACCAGACACGGTGGGGATCACGGACATGGTGGGATGGGGGAGCAGAGCTGCGGGAATGGGGGAACAGAGCTGAGAGCACAGAAAGGATAGGGGGGATAGAACTGAGGGGATGGGGGGGCGGAGCTGAGGGGACGGGGGATAGAGCCGAGGGGATGGGAGGATAGAGCTGAGGGGAAGGGGGGCACAGAGTTGAGGGGATGGGGTGGATAGAGCTGAGGGGATGGGGGGGGGGGCACAGCCGAGGAAATGGGGCTCCGGGTACCTGAGGTGGGTCGGGTTCGCAGCGCGGGGCGGTGCCGGGGCTGAGGGAGAGGCGGGTGCCAGGTACCCGAGCGGGGAGGATGCTGCGGTACCAGCACCGGGAGGGTCCCTACGAGGAGCCCTCCGGAGGAGACGGAGTTGTGCGGGAGGCGCTGTGCGGGGCCTGAGCGGGGCGGGGGGCCCCGGGGGTGGCGGTGGCGGTACCGGAGGCCCCTCGGGCCGCGGCGGGTCCCGGTCCCTCACCCCGCGCGCACGTGCGCCCGCCCCAGCGCCGCCGTCTCGCGAGAGGGGCGGGTTCGGTGTGGCCCCGCCAGGCCGCCGTACCGGAGGGGGGGCCGCCCGAGACACGTGCTCCGCCGAGCTACGGGGCGCCGCAGCGGCCATTCCCCGCCGCTGGTGCTGCTGTCGCCATGCCGCGGTACGCGCAGCTGGTGATGGGCCCGGCGGGCAGCGGGAAGGTGAGCGGGGAGCGGCGGGGGGACGGCGGGAGGAGGGAGGCCCCGGGCAGCCCCTGACGGGCGTGTGTGCCTTGCAGAGCACGTACTGCTCCACCATGGTGCAGCACTGCGAGGCGCTGGGCCGCGCCGTGCAGGTGGTGAACCTGGACCCGGCGGCCGAGCTGTTCAGCTACCCCGTGATGGCAGGTGAGCGCCGGGGGGCCCGTTACAAACATCAAAATAGCGTCTGGTTCCTGTGTCAGTGAATAATGCCCGGTCTTGTGCCCGATAGTGCTCAGCACCTATGTCAGAGATTAATGTAGTCTTGTAATAATGCTGATTCCTCACATCGGTGACTGATGGGTCTTGTGCCAGGTAGTTCTTAATCCCTGTATTTACCTGGGCCAGTGATTAACATCTACCTGTATATGTCATAGTTTTGAGAACAAAGTGTGTCTAAACAAAGATGATAGGAAAAGTACATCTTGACCTGACCTCATAGTTGGGATACCTTGAAGAAGAGATTCATTAGCGGATCCGGGACCATGAAAGGAAAATTTGGGGAATGGGATGTTCCCCAAACGGCCACCAGGGACCCTCAGAAGACTCCCACTCATATCCAGCTCGGTCCCTGAAAATATTTAGCATATATGTGTGTATTCAGGAAAGGTAATGAATATGTACTAGCTCATGAATAGAGATCCCCGTGCACCCAGTGCTGCAGTGAAGGAATGTTGGCTCTCTGACCTCCCAGACTGTTTGGAGGGTTTATTCCCAGTGTTTGGTGTTGTCACAGACATCCGTGAGCTGATAGAGGTGGACGATGTGATGGAGGATGAATCCCTGAGGTTTGGCCCCAATGGAGGTTTGGTGTTCTGCATGGAGTACTTTGCCAACAACTTTAACTGGCTGGAGGAGAGCCTGGGGCACGTGGAGGATGATTATATATTGTTTGACTGTCCAGGTAAAAGCACGTCAATGTTTTGGTATCGTTTCGTATTTTATATCACGGTATAAAATTTGCAGTGCTTTGGTTTAGTTGGTTGTGATAATTCACGGTTTTTTGCAGTATTAACAATTGTCAGAGTCACTTCCAGATGTTTCAGGAGTTACCTTGGTCCTGGGCTGCTCTGGGTGGCTGCACTGGTGTTTGGTAACGACATGTGGTGTGGGGACACTGTGGCAGCTGCAAATAACACTTATTTGGAGGTCAAGGGAGGGAAAATACCCCTTTTATTTCTTTTCCACTTCACTGGTCAGAGCTGCCTAAAAGAGGATGCTTTTCTTACCAGTTTTTATTTATATTAAGTGTAATTCCATGTTTATATATAACTGCAAAATATTCCTGTTTGCTTCCCATTCCTACCCATTGATATCCTGAGTGTGCCCCAGGTCAGATCGAGCTCTACACACACCTGCCAGTGATGAAACAGCTGGTGGAGCAGCTCCAGCAGTGGGAATTCCGTGTCTGTGGAGTCTTCCTTGTGGATTCTCAGTTTATGGTGGAATCTTTTAAGGTACCCATTTGAAAGCTGTTGGAAAAGCTCATATTGACAAAGAACAAAAAGTCTGGGCCATTCAGGGAGCTGGGTTTCCCTGGAGGAGAAAATGCTAAGCCCAGGGAGATTTGTCTTCATCTGCCTCAGACATGAGTTGCAGCAAAGGGTATCCCAGCTGGATGTAAAGAAAACCAGCACTGAGAGAGTGGTCAGACTGGAGCAGGCACAGAGGTTGTGCAGTGAACATTCATGGAGTCAAAACTTGACTGGGCAGCCTGGTCTGACTTAGAAGCTGCTCTGTTTGAGCAGTTGGAGGATTCAGATAAACCTCCAGAAGCTGCTTCCAATTTAAATTCTTGGAATCTCATGTGATTCCATGAGAGCTTTCTCAGAGCTGGAGAGTGAGCAGGCCGCTTTCGCCATTTATCAGGAACAATCCCGAAAAGGGTTTGGGTTTTCTTAATGCCCTTTCCAGTGGCAGATCCAGATCTGAGGCTCCAAAAATAGGTGGGATACTTCACACCTCCCTTTTCCAACAGGAAACTCCTCATATCCCAACTCCTCATATGGCTTTGCGTCCGTGTTCCATATATTCATTACTACATTTGGTCTGGGGTTGAGTGTCCTGCATGCTGGGTTTGTGTTTTTCTGTGCTTTAATACATCATTTTTCATTCTCTTTTCAGTTTATCTCTGGAATTCTGGCAGCACTCAGTGCAATGATATCTTTAGAGATTCCACAGATTAACATCATGACCAAAATGGATTTGCTGAGCAAGAAAGCCAAGAAGGAAATAGAAAAGTAAGTTCCAAAAAATTATTTACTCCGTAGTGTGATATATTGAGGCAAAGTTCACTCAAAATTCAGTCTAATGTTTCTCACAATTTAAACATCCTCTTTTGGAATGGGACAAGATGGATTTGGTTTATATTAAACATAGTCTTTAAACAGCTGAATAGGATGCTTACAGAGTCAAAAGAACAGCTCCATGTTTGTACTGATCTCTGGATTTTTCTGTAAATAATCATCTTGCATCTCTCGTGTCATTCTAAATGACAGACTTTCAGTGTTAATGATGACTTTGTTTCTCCCAGGTACTTAGATCCAGACATGTATTCTATGATTGAAGATTCTACAAATATATTAAAAAGCAAAAGGTTTAAGAAGCTGACTAAATCTATATGTGGATTGGTAGGTATATTGCTTTTGAACTGGTATCCTTGAATTCAATATCACTTTTTGCCTCTTTTAACTCAGCTCTTTATTTTTTCAGATTAGCATAAGATTCTTGATGCTGTTGATACTATACTCTTGATATTTGGATTGTAGCCAATACATTTTCTGTGAATCCTTTGGGAAATGGATTTTTCTATCGTGTAGAACTCTCTGAGTGCCACTGTTTTGCAGTGTGGCTTTAAGTGGTATTTTAGCAGTGCAGACAAGTGTGGTTTAAGGAGGTGGCTTAGAGTGCTGTGACTGAGAGTTAACTTACTGCATTTTCTTTTGACTCCTCCCTGCAGATTGATGACTATGGGATGGTTCGGTTTCTGCCTTTCGATCGCTCTGACGAGGAAAGTATCAACATCGTTCTGCAGCACATAGACTTCACCATCCAGTATGGAGAGGATCTGGAATTTAAAGAGCCAAAGGTAAGGTGCTTCTGGTGAGGAGATGAAAAAAATTAAAAAGGATCCACAATATAAATATGTTCTTTGCCTTGCTGATAAATTATTTTCTCAGTACGGTTCAAAGCAGCCCATCTTTAGTCTGCTGGTGACAGTGCCTGTATCATCTTCATTTACAGTTTAAAAAGTGGAATTCTTTAATAGCATCTTGCATGTGCAGATTGATCAAAGGGTTGTGTTTAAAAGTAATGCTTTTGGTTTTCAAAATCAACAGAATTTTAACCTTCAGATGTCAGAAAGGACCACAGAGATCAGTAAGATATTTTCCTGCCTGACTGTTCAAACTGCCATGATAATTCCTGTGTTCGACCCACGTGTTGTATATGAGATAGAGATTAGAAATAAATTCTGTTGTGTAAAATACATCATAGAAGACTGTGTTAAAATCTGTTCCAAGCCCTCTCTAGTTTTATTATTCAGCTCATAAAACCTAGGGAACAAGTTTAGTGCTTTTATTCCCTTTTTAAATTCATTTTTTTACTCTTCTGTACTGCAGAATACTTGGGTCTCGATTTTGACCTATATATAAAGTTAGTATTTTTCTGTTTTCTCTTTGGCAGGAATATGAAGAAGATAAATCTGCTCTTGTGGATGAATACTTTCAGGATCGTGTGGATGAGTAAAAAAAAATATGTTCAAACTGTGAGGAAAATACTTTGTGGGGAAAAGTGAAAAAAAAATCCTGACCCCCTACACAAACACAATGTTTTATCTGTAAGGTAACTAATATTTATAGTAAAGAGTGAGTTATATGACCTCAAAACTATTTTAATAAACAGTTTTTTATTCTTGTGTGTGTATGGGTTATAAAATATATAGGCCAGTGTTAGCACATATAAAAGTTCCCCTCATATAGATATATTTCAGCATAGGAATGCTTGAAACAAATTAATGATTTGCCAGATAGGCAAAGCTGAGTCTAAATATGTAGTAACAAATATTTATCTCTAGCACTGAGTAGTTAGTTTCATTACTAGATGAGAGAAAGAATTGTTCTAAAGGGTGGAAGTTGTATGTCATGAACTGAACCTAAATTAGAGAGAGATGACTGGCAACTTCAAAGGGGCAGCTGGTCAGGGGGTGGGCTTCTTCTTTAAGAACTTGAGAGTTTTACATTTATTTTTTTTTGAAGATTCTAGATTTTAAGCCTTCTTAAAGCAGGTTTTTGTTCAACTTGCACATGACTTTAAGTGGTTTATTCATCGATAACATGTACACTGTAACACTTCAAGAAGGAAAATTACCTTAAACAGAGCCCAGTGATGGTCTTGTGAAATTGGTGTCATTTTGTAGGAGCAGCTTGGTCAGCAGATGTCTGAGTGTGAGGATTCCCCTTAATAGGAACCAAACCAAGGAGTGAATACTTGGAGACAACTGCACGTACCTAACCCTGGGGTGTGAGAGCAGCTTGGCAGACTTGAGCTTTGTAGTTTCTTGCTTCTAGTCTGGAAGGTGTAATTTTTTTCTCATTCAGGAGTAGGGTTGTTCTTACGTCTGTTTGAATAAAAGGTTCACTATTGATATGGTGCTTATTTTTGGAGTAAGGATCTGCTTTTTCCAAGGCACAGCCAGAACTGGGAGAGAGGTTCAACAGAGCAGCAAATCCTGCATGTTTAGTGGAAAAGGGCTCCCAAAAATCCCTATGTGGCAGAACTTGATCTGACTGAATTAAACCACTCAAACATTGGGGCAGCTTGGGTCACAACTCACCTCCAGACTGGCACATCCCTGGGACAAGTTACACTCATGTGTTGAAAGGGCAAAGCCCAGCCCTGCAGTTGGATTACTTTGACTCACCTTCCAAACCTCCCCATTTTTTCTCCCTGACTCATGCCATGAATCATTTACCAGGGGGCAAATTCAGCATGCTGGCTCATAGGGAAGGTTATGGCTTGATAGTAATAGGAGTGTGCACCAGAATATATTGTATCCCTCTCAACACAAAGTGTTTGGACCCATTTTGTCCTTCCTTGCATCGGGGGAACCGAGTGCCCCGTGCAGCCGGCTGCCTGTGCACCAGGTCAGAGCAAGTGACCCCCAGGAGCTCTGGAAATGCGCAGGAGAGAAAAACAGCTACGAGTGAAGCACCCCCAATATGCTCTTCTGATGCTGACCTCGCCGAGACTGGAGCTCACCTCTCAGATGTCAGCGTGGCTGGAAAAGGGTGGCACGGAGTGACCGAGGAGGGGTTATTTGCAAAGGCAGAGAGAGGAGGGAAACCCCAAAGGATGGAAAAAAGAAAAGAAGTCCCCATCAGAGCGTGCTTTCAAAGCCCCTTCCCAGTGTGGCCAGCGGCCGGACAGTGCCTCCCGCGATCCCTTCCTGGTGCGGTGCCTCAGGGCGGTGCAGGGCTCCGCTTCCGTGCTCGCACCGCCTCTGCCGCTGCCTCATTTCCTGCAGCAGAGGCGGAGGGAGCGCTGTGTTCGCTTTCTTGGACGTTCGCCCGCTCCCCTCCCGCCCGGCCCCGCCGAGCCGCCTCCTGCCCTTCGAGATGCCGGTGAGCGGCGGGTGCGACGGCGGGCCGGGAAAGGGGCTCTGCGGCGGGGTCTGACGGGGGGGAAAGAGGGGCTGCGGCTGCGGGGAGCCCCGCGGAGAGCGGGGAAAGGCTCGGAGGGGAGGCTGCTGCAAGGCCAGCGCCCTCTTCCTCTTCCTCTTCCTCCCTTTGGCAGGGATCCACCCGCAGCCGGGAGGGTGAGACCCGGCGCCAGCGGGGGAGAGGGTGGTCAGAGCAATGCTTTGCTCTGCCTTTGTTTACACCACCTTACCCTGGGTCGAATAAACTGCTTTTTACACCCACCCTCCCCCAGTCACATCTTCCTCTGCCCCCCACAAAACCTGGGCTGGGAGGAGGTGAAGGATTCCCAGTGGGATGGCACAGCACGGTGGGAACATTTGGAAAGTGCCCCAAAATAATCTTATCAGTTTTTAGAAATCGGTTTTCCAGGAAGAATCTGTTATATGCAGAAAGCTTTTTTTTTTTGCCTTTTTTTTTTTACTTAAACCAGTTTTAGAGTGCACAGAAAGGCCTTTATTTTTGAGCGTGCTAAGCCTTGCTTTATTTATAATTATCTACTATTGTTAGCTGGACGTGGAAATAAGATATATCATTTTTATAAGACCAACTAATTTTCAGTGAACTACACAGGGCCCCCGGGATGGGGTCAGGGAGCCAGGGGGATGAACTGTGCCTGCAGATCAGCCACATGGATTTTATCCTGTCTCCCACCACCATGACTGCAAGTGGTGCCAGGGATGATGCTCTCCTGGCATTGACCAGAATGGCACCAAGTTCTGGGCCTTATTAGAAAACAGTGTTTGTGCAAGGAAAAATTGCTGGGAGCATCATAATGAATTAGACTGTGACTCCTGTTTGTGGAGACAAACGGGATGTGATTGGACACAGAAATGTCTGTTTTCAGTAGAATCAATAACCAGCTTTCCCCCATTCCAGGCTTACCACTCCACGTTAATGGACTCGGACACCAAGCTAGTTGGGAACATGGCACTGTTACCCATCAGAAGCCAGTTCAAGGGCCCAGCACCTCGGGAAAGTAAGTTTATAATAATGTCTGAAAACCTGCCTGGATGTAGCTCCTCATCTCATGGGTTGCTCCAAGAGCAAGAGTGACAAGAGGAGTCAGTGGTGGGAAGTGGAGAGGTTTGCAGTTTGTAGAGGAGGAAAGAAGTTCTCAAATAGTTAAGTTGTGCAAGTTGAGGTTTCTGGAGAGGATGTGATGGTGTGAACCCTCCGTGTCAGAGGAAGTGGGGGTTCAGCTACAGAGAGCTCGCTCTGGTCTGTGGCTGGGGACACTCAGCTGCTCCCAAGGCTGAGGAGTGGGACAGGCAGCACTTCAGGGTCAGGCACTGCAAAAATTGATCCTTTTATGCTCTTAAAACTTTGATGAGTTACTCAACTGGTAGAAAAATGAGGAACTGCTGAATTGCTGCTGTTTGTGAAGTGAGATAGCACAGGGGAAAGAGAATAAGGAAGTTAAAGCTCCTAATAAGAGTAGGAAGCTTAAATATTACAGTCTGAGCTCCTCAGTGTTTGAAATGTTCTCTGTTACATAGTGCTGACGTCTGCTTTTTGAATTACCTTTGCAATAATGCTTATTTATGTATTTCAGTGAGTAAAACTTATGACAAATGAGGTATAACAGTGCAATGTTTAACTCTATTTCTTCTTTGTTAGCTAAGGACACTGATATCATAGACGAAGCCATCTACTACTTCAAAGCTAATGTTTTCTTCAAAAATTACGAAATTAAGGTAATTTTTTTAGTACACTGTGCATATAGTAGTTCTTTGGAAGGTTGGTGCTGTGAATATAAATTTATTTTCAAGGAAATAATTCTGTTAGATCACAAAATCTCCCCTTCCACTTAATCTTTAAAGTTGGGTAGATGTCGTGAATTGCAAGTCCTTCTCTCATGGGGGAACTAGGCCAAAATGGCTTGAACTCATTCCTGTTTCAGACTTTTATCAGTTCCACAAAGTCTCCCTTAATCTAAGGGTGCCTGGGCCCTGTGCTTGCTCTTGTGCAGAACGAGGCTGACAGAACACTGATCTACGTAACCCTCTACATTTCTGAGTGCCTGAAGAAGCTGCAAAAGGTAAGAGAAGTGAATTTCTGTGCAGGAGGGAAACAGAGTCTGTTCTGGGGATTTCCTGATATTCTCCTCCCACTGGCACAGATAATCCTGTTCACCCCAGTCCCAGCTGTCAGAACCACAGATACTCCAAAGCTGTGGATACATTGTGCTGCTCTTCTTGATGAGTTTTTAAATGTTACAGATTGGTAAAATATTTGGGTCTAATGCTCCCTCAGCTTTTGTATATAACTGCTAATCCATTGTTTGCCTGGTTCTTCCAGTGTAACTCCAAAGGCCAAGGAGAGAAAGAAATGTACACACTAGGAATAACTAACTTCCCAATCCCTGGGGAGCCTGGCTTTCCGCTTAATGCCATTTACGCCAAACCTGCCAACAAGCAGGAGGAAGGTAAGGCTGACCCAGCACCTCTGAGGGCTTCCTTGGGCTCATACTTTATTAGCTGCATTTCTGTGACTGCAATTAGAAAAATTACCGTTAAAACTGGATTTTCTAAATATGTGGTCTGTCTTCTGAAGGCAGCACAAGCTGGATTTTCTGACCTCAGGGGCCCAGTGACTCCTCTGGATCCATGGATCCAACAGAACAAATGTATAGGGTCTAAGAATACCTTTTGCATCAGATAATCACTAGTTAAACCCTAATAATAGAGCCCAAGCCAGAACAGGAAGCCCACAATAATGAGCAAAGGTGACTGAGAGAAGAAAGCAGTTCGGATGATCCTTTCTACTGGTAAAAATATCATAAAAATCCCAAATATTGCTGTAAATTGAGCAAACCAACTCAGCCAGCTGGCGAGCACCTGCAGATGTGAAGCTCTCTCCTGAAGCAGTGCTGTCTGATGCCTCCCTGTTAAATCTGGTGCTCCCCAGTTTACCCTGGTTTCCCTGTGCTGCTTTCAGAGGTGATGAGGGCCTACCTGCAGCAGCTGAGGCAAGAGACCGGCCTTCGCCTCTGTGAAAAAGTGTTTGACCCTCAAAGTGACAAGCCCAGCAAGGTGAGAGTTCAGAGGGACCATCGGGGAGCTCGTGAGGTTTGGGGGGTGTTCAGCAATGTCTGAATGGGGGTGAGGGTCAAGTGTGGCAACCTTGGCCAAGCCTCACTGGGTTTGCAGTGAAATGGCAGCTGCAAATTATCAATAAATTTATTCTAATGTGACATGACAGTGAATGCCAATTTGGG